TATATATATATATTTATATTTATAGTCCCCTCACGGCAGAATTTACAACAAATACAGCGACGAACAGTCGCCTATTTATTCATCATGCATCCAAACTAACCTTTTTTTCTCTCAAGACAATTTAGACCCAGCAAAATTTGGAATTTTTTTTTTTTTAAAGTTACATCGCTTTGCGCCTTTAAACAAACAAATAAATATCGCTCTGTACAATAGACCGAAGTTCCTGTCAACAACTCAATCCCAGCGAGTCCTGTGCAGAGCCAAGCCTTTTAGATCAATTACACTCTTATTAATTAATTAACGTACTTAAGGACGCTTGCGACACCGCCAACGGATTTAAGACAGCCGCTCTTTTACCTGTGTGCGCTAAAGACCGTAATTATCAACACGGGACACCTGTGCTGCGGTCTACCCATGCTGTCCCTTGCCCTATGGGCTACATGCAGGGGTAAAAGAGAGAAGTCTTTCGCTATAAAAACAGGCCGAGAGCGAAAGCTGAACTGCTGAACGAGCATGGCGTTTCTCTACGAAGCGCTCGAGACCCCTTCGGATTTAGGCATTAACGTTACTTGATGTTTCGTTGTTTTAACGCACGATTCAGCGCCGAAGTGCTACGCGTGCGCTCATCTTCGCAGTCGCTGAGGAGAAAAAACTAAAACAAAGCAACAACAAGCGACTACTTTTACATTTCAGGGGGAAAAAACGTCCTTCAAATGAACATTTTAGAGAATTATACACGTGAATGCCCTAAAAAAATGCTTCCTCACGTCTGAAATTTGAATAAATTAGAAAAAAAAATGCCTATACCACGACCAGGAGAAATCATAAAAACAATGAAAAGGATAATTTGCAGAAAACGGTTGAATGTCTGATGATTGCGATGGTGAGAATGGCCTATACACATATAGGCTACATTTTCTGAGGTAACGTTAACTTAGTCTACCTTAAAAGACTTGGGGCCTACGCCGTTCAATAAAACATTAGGCCTCAGCTGGAAATGTAACCAACATTTGTAAAAAGAACGTTTCATATGTCTATGTAACGTTACACATGAAATTACTCTCCTGTGATTTCCCTTAATTGTTTTGACAAAATAATTGTGTGTCATGAAACAGCTCAGATCACTGTGGGTAAAAAAATGCTCTCAGAGTTATGACCCGAGGTCCTGTGGGGCCATTCAAAACGAGTATTATTTCTTCTTCCTTTCTGCCTCAAATTTACAAGTTAGCACGAGGAATTATTAATTACTGTGAAATGACAGTTTTTTTAAATCAATGTTCAAAACCCCTGCGAGTGGAAACAACGCCACTCGCCTCAGCTCGACGATCCACATCACCTGCTATTCATTTTCATTTACACTTACAGTACAGAATGAACGCCTTAACACCGTACAAAGCCATTTAACCTGCTTTACTGAACGTGATTTGACCAACATCGCCCACTTTCAGGGTCTGAACGCTGCTCTGAAGGAGTGAGAGAGGGTGAGATGTGACGGAGCGTTGCCGCCTCCAGCACTTACTTGGTATTCGTCGTGTTCCAGTATATGGAGTCCAGGATGAGCGCGCGGGACAGGTTCACCTTGCACGCGATGACTAAAACTCCAAAGTAATATCTCCACAGAGAGTCGCCCATGGTCCGTTACGACCGTTACGGTCAAATTCCGTTTCGCGGGAATTTCTAATTCGAAAAAAAGACAGAAAGTGTCTTGTTTGGAGTGCTGCTTGTGACAATCCAAACTCAATATCCCCCGTTCCGGGAAAAAAAGTTAAAAAAAAAAAACCAAGTAAAAAATGCTGAATAGGAGCCCCATTAAGTTGTCTAAGATTACTGCACGTTCTTTTGTTCCCCGAAAAGGGCAGATTTATCGATACTCGAAACCACGATCAGCAATGCAGCGATTGGCTGGCGGCAAGACAGCAACGTAATGACATCATATAATTAAAAAAGACACCTGACGAAAAATTTGACACATTTCTGGAAACGGCCAAGTGAACAAAACTACATAAATGTTATAATAGATCAATGAAATGTGCACTGTTTTTAATTAATTTTTTTACATGATTCCCAATCTTTTATATTCAGGATTTCTAGTATTTGTACAGGCTTTACATTTTTATTTCAATGTTGTAATTAGCAACTCATGTAATTTTATTTTTGAAGCAGATTTGTTACGTGACGGCATTAATTAAAGTTTTTTAAGGGTCGAGATTAAGTTATCTGCATCTCCTGCGCTCCACCAAGCCACTGCCCTAATATCTGTCACCACTCAAATGAATGCTCGACTCAGATTAACTGTACAGCATGCGTGTAAGACTCTAATACAATTATAAAGTAATTATTTTATCACAAATAAATCTTTAAATGAGTAAAACTGGCTGTGTCTATACAGTATTATAGATTACACAATAGGGCTGAACGATTTTGGAAAATAATCTAATTGCGATTTATTTTGCAATTATTTTTTTAAAGCTCTTTATGTTCTGTATTATTCGCTGAACGATTTTGGAAAATAATCTAATTGCGATTTATTTTTACTAATATTGCGATTGCGATTTAATATGCAATTTATTTTTTAAGCTCTTTATCTTCTGTATTATTCAACAAAGACAAGCAATAAATCATTGTAGGGGTGGGAATCTTTAGGCACCTCACGACTCGATTCCGATTCTGGGAGTCACAGTCAGATTCCAAAACTATATATTTTTTTCTTATTGATTAGACTTATTAAAAAAAAAAATATTTTTTTTTTTACATATGTTTACAATAAAAAAATTAGTTAAAACAATTGCATGTTAATAATTTTAAATAAACTAATATAAAACAGGGCTTAGATTAAGCCAGGATTAGGCCTTAGTTTAATTAGGACATATAAGTAGCTTAAACGTGCCTTAGAAAAAAAACATTACAGGTGTGTAT